TTGAATTTGAGTTATGGAGGCACAATCCGAGTGGATGATATCCCAAATGGAAAACCTCACACATGTTGTCGACTGCACTTAAAGATATATTTTTTGGAAATCATATTAGAACTTCAAATTGTTTTTCCATCTTTACAAACAACAAGCAACTTTCAAATTCGATTGGAATGACCCTTCATCAGTGAATTATTTAAGGTCCGCTTTGTCAAATCGAAAAACTTTTATTTGCTGTTAGTATATTTAAACCAATCTTTTTAAATCTACCCCCAAAAGCAGGCCTGCCATATAATTCACTGGCATATAAGTATGGCCTTAACGTACTCTATATATCTTATTGTCTTATTTTGCGACCACCCATGCACTTTGACCCTGATAACTTATGGCTGAACTGCCTCAACCTCTCCCCAGGTGGCGCCACACTAAGTCAACACGTGGCTTCTGGCAAAGTGCCTACACACCCGCACCTTTATCGCCCCTTATGCCAGACCACCGCAAATGGGGGGCGGAGCACTTTGGTGCCCATCTGGACCTTGGAAGAGGTACCTAGAATTTTGTAAGACTATGCAATAAAAATGCAACGTTTATAGCTGGTCGCTGTCGTTGCCTCGCTGTGGTTTTCTCTCAGCCACGTCCACTTCGCGTGCTGCGTCCACTCGGCTCCATTTGCCACTCTCGGGGGGAGACTGTTACACACTAACACCCCACAGTGCCACAGTGGGTTAAACTATACTATATAATAAATACAACTCACCTCAAATATAGTACTCATCTAAATATTACTTTAAAATGCATTTAAGTATTATAACAACTTAAAAATAATTAATGAAATATTTATTAAATCTAAATTTTTTTTAGGTTTATAGATTCTTTAATTTATGTATTTTAGTAGGGTTTTATTTTTCTTTAGTTATTTTCAAATACCTTAAGCCATTTCGAAATTAATATCTGATTTTCAATTTAAGTATTATTTTATAAAGACAAATTCTTTTTAATAACTAATTTTAAGGACTCGTCACACTGTGTGTCCGCCCAGTCGTGACCTTTGCGAGTGGCCATTAACGCTTTTTTATCTGTTCATAAATTTTAATTTTGGCAAAATACTCCAAGTACGTGGCCCAGCCCAGACCACATTTGGATCCCCATCCCGTCGCCGCCTTCGACTCGGAGCGAAGGCACCATAATTCTCCTTTTTTTTTGCTCCACCGGGTCCGGGTCTTTCCTTCGTGTTTGTTTGGCGTTTTCATTTTGGCCAAGAGAAATATGACTTGGTGGCTGCCTTTGGCCGTGCACTTTTCCTTTTCCTTCAGCCTTTTTCCGCCGAGCGCCGTGTCTTCGCCTTTGAGTCGAGGATTCGTAACCTTATTTCGCCAGCGGAGCATCCTCGTCGCTGGCGGACTTGTTTATCGTCCTTTGCATCTCATTGAGCTGGTTGCCGCTCTTGAACGTCGCCCACCGCCCCCTCAACGCTTTTCCGGAATCTCGGGGGGTTACACGGGCCAAAAGCCCGGTGTTTGTGTCTTGCCTGAACGGTCTTGCCTTTTTCCGTTTTCCGCTCTCCCTCGCTTTGCTTCGCCCAGCACTTTTCATTTTTCCATTGCATATTTAACCTAATTAAAATGAGTTATATGAGACAGGTGGAGAGAGCGTGTTAATCCTTGACCTGCTGACTTTGCCGGAGCTCATTTTCCCTGCTGCCCAAGTGGCGCCTTGAGCTGAAGATGTTTCGCTATCACAAACTGTTTAATGCTTGTTTTTAAAATTTTCTGAGGTTTAAGGTAAAGTACAGTTCTTGTGTGGAATGTTTTATGCAAGCGGCGATTAGATTACTAATTTTAAGCATTCGCAAATCATCATAATAATATTTAAAAGATTTATTTTTTAATAATAACAGATTAAAACCCACTTGGAAGCGAACCTTCTTCTGGTTGTATGTACATTGTACAACGTATTATTAATATTTTCTAAAGCAACATAAATCCACATCAAAACAACCACAGAATATAATTAATTTTTTTAAAACCACGCCTAGCGATTGAAACCTGAAGCCGAAAGCAAAATGTTTAATGTTATATGTTAGCAACCTTAAATATTTTTCAATTAAAACGTAACATGTGAAATCAAATTGCTTTCATTCCAAGCTTCTTGAATGCCAAGGCCTGAAAATATCGATAAAAACATAGATGAAAATAAAAGAAAATTTACAAAGGCCACTTAAGACCTCTGACATTACCCAAACTGACTTTTATCCTACTTCCTATCATTGCAGGTATGTTAATGGAGCCAAGTCTCAACAAGTGGAACTCCTTGTCCGACAAGCAGCAAACATTGACCAGGAGCGAAGAACAAACTAACCTAATGAATTTATGTACGAGGTGTAAGGTGCAAAACGCACAAGGCCAGGCAAAGGCTCTAACTGAAAGTACTTAAGCCCATAAAATATTCAAGCCGTGAACATGTGGGGAAAATTACAAAGAACGCCCGGAAAAGACGCTCAAAAATCCACAAGGCAGACAGGGAAAACAGGGTGGTGGAAATTATATGGATATATAGGCGAAATCTCTACTGAAACGAAATCCTAAAATGGCACTACACACAAACTTACAGAAAAAAAAAAGACATCGAGTTTTTATTTTAAAACATTTAAATTTTCTTTAAAATTTGGGCTCATAAGAATGGAAAAGGGACCCAAAAAATATATCAATATAAATAATCAAGTGAACAAATTTCTGAATAATGGAAGTACAACCAATTTCAAACGGGTTTGCCAATTGGTGAATTCTGATTGAACTTAAGTTCTAGCATTTTAAATATAATTTAACATTATTTATTAAGAAAAATGTTCACAGTAATATTTTTTCGTGTACCCCCTTAAGCTCAGAAGTCTCAGTCGCACAATTTGCCATTGTAAGTGTAGGTGAATGGAGGGAATGTGGGGCCTTACCCTTGCCCCCGGGGATAGGCAGCCAGCCACTGATTGAAAAGAAAATTACGGGCAAGTAGTTGGCCGGGTGGCCGCCAGATGGTCTCCACATCGATAGCACTGCTGATGAGCAGCATAAATGTCCTGCGGAGGGAAGGCTGAAGGAAACGGAAGCCAGCGGCGCCGTACTGGGACCACCGGCCTTGAATTCCGGAAGTGGTAAAAGCCAGGGGACCAGGGGCACAAGTCTCCCAGCCATTTGCATTTAGAAGAACACATATCTATGTATGTACGTCTATGCCCTGTCATAAGCATCCGCCGATGGCAACTGTTTCATTACGCTCCGCAGAGCAGGTTTCTTCTCCACTTTTACTGTGGAATTTAAAAACGTCTTTTGAAGGTCTAATTAGTAAAATGGAATTCGGTTCTGTTCCGCCTTTTAAGTAAATAATTTACGTATTATCAGTTTTAACTGCACTGATAAAGATCGCATCGTTGGAACAACTTTGGAAATTGAATTTTTCTTATTGACAATTTGCCGTTATTTTCCGTAAATTATTCTGAAAGAATTAATTTTGTGCTCAACTATTTTATAAGTTATAAGATGTTCTGCTAACTTGATAAGATAGTAGGATCTTAAAATGTTAACTTTTTTTTTTAAATGGGTTTTGCCGTTATTTATCCGTAAATTATTCGTGAAAGAAAAATTTATTTTGTCGCTCTTAATTTAAGATTTATAATAATAATTTACTGATAAATAACGGCAAAACCCATTTAAAAACATTTTGGAAAAGTTAACATTTAAGGAGTTGTACTGCTAACTTGATGCCAACGATAATAATGTGCACGCTTCCTTCAGATTTTTATTAAATGCAGTACAAAATAATAAAAGTTTATAAAGGTCAACTAAGTTTTTCAGTATATTGAAGGAAATTACTTTATAAGTTTAAAATGTAAATTTAAGTTCTTAACTTCACAAGTCCTCATTTATAACGAAGCTAACCAAAATTGCACTTTGAATTTAAACTCAGTTGAAAGTAACAAATATCCCACTGTGCTGTCGCTGAAAGCTTAAGAAGCGCGAAGGCAGAGCAGTTGGGATAGCACGTTGTAGATATTAAGCATGTCCTTAAGCATAAAATGTCAATAAGTGCACCCAATCGATGCTAAGCAGTTTACATTGCGACAAGCCACTGGGGCACCGTCTCTTTCCGAGTCCTTTCCCTCGGAGATCCTCGTTTTGCAGCAGGAACTGCGCTAACAATGCAAAGGACACGGAAAAGCACAATCACACTGACACACATTATAGCTTATCCTTCTGCATGCGTCTCATATTTTCCGATAAACGTATTTGGATAAGCAAATTTTTGCTTGCATCACACTGAGCAAGAAATCGTTACATTTTTGCAATTATATGACTGGAACAAAACAAAAGAGGAAAATTTGTTGATTTAATTTGGACAAAATTCGTTGAAACACTTAAATATTAGAAGACAAAAACATTAAACTTCAACATTGAAAATAAAATATTTTGTAGTTCACATCCTCTATTTCTTACAGTACACATGTATTTTATGTATTTCCTCTTTATTGACTTGCAAGTTTATATCAGTATTTTTAAAGAATTTGGCATTTCTGCCATACATACATACTAAAGAATTTTCTTTACCGGAAGTTATCTTCTACCTTGTTAAAAATTGTTGGCGCAAAAAAAGACGTATTTTCTTAAAATAAAATTAAAGTGAGCCAATGAAATAAAATTGGCTTTAAAGTTACATACTTGACAAAAATTGTAGAATTCAATAACTATTTACCTTGAGAACCTCTTACTCTCGGTGATTTCATAAATTATCAAACTCTTATAGAAGGGTTTCCCCAATATGATTTTGAAGAGAACGTTTTTGGTAATCGACACCTTCTTATCCGCATGTCACTTGTACAGAACATTTCTAATTTCATTGTGAAAAAGGTTTCTCTTATCAGCTTGTTTTGGTATCTACAAATATAGACCGCGACACAAATAGTCAAGATAGGTTTTTCTACTTAAGTATGCCAATAGATTGACAAACGAGTTCAGTTCGTTGAGTTCCGGAAGAGGTGGCGGTCTGACTAAAATGAGAGGTACTAAAGGCAAAGTGATGAATGCTCGGAGACTAAAGTTAGCTCACCGTAGTTCCGCAAAGTGCTTTCCACTTGGTTATATTTCTGGCTTCTATGGCAAGAATCGAAGGATTTTCGATGGAGACGAAATGCAAGCTGTGGGCAGGAAGCGGTTATATCGGAGACCCTAGTGATTGCCAAAGCTGGGGATTTTGCGAGGACAATAAACTAATCGAACGACATGGATGCAATGAGGGATTGCTGTACAACTTTCGGCGTGGAACCTGCGATAAGGCATCGGACGTGATATGTCATTCTCATCTCTCAGAGATTTGCGCCAGCCTTCAGCCAGGGGACTATATCGCCGATCCTTCGAATTGCCGGAGATTCGTCAAGTGCGAGGACATCGATGAACCGACTTGGAGCGACTGTGGTGTGGATCGCGTGTTCAGCAACGAGCTGCAAACCTGCCAGCAGGAAACTTCCGGCTGTCCACAGGATAACATGTGCTCCCATATGAAAGACGGTTCCTTCGTGGGCGATCCCAGTAACTGTCAGAATTATTATAAATGCCACAATGGATTCGGCACTCCGTTAAACTGCTCCGCCGGTCGATACTTCAATCGAAAATCGGGTAATTGTCAATCCTGGCTACCAGATTACTGCTCCAAGGACGAGGAGACGCCTCCGGCTATGCCCCCCACCACGAATTTTCAAGTTTGCTTTAAATACTATCCGAAAGATAGAACCGGACTGCAGCTCCTGCCGGATTTGATGACATGCTACGGGTATTACGCCTGCACTTCGCCATTCGACGTGGGAAGATGGAGCAGCTGTCCTTGGGAACAGCATTTTGAGTGGTGGAGTCAGCGGTGTGGTTCGCCGAAGGACAACAGCTGCTCCTACGATCGCTGTGGCAATATGAACCAACTTCAGGTGGCCACCATCAACACGGGCTGCAGGGAGTACACCGTCTGCCAGGACTTTCGCTCGCAGAGATCGGAAAAGTGCCCCAACGATCTTCCCTATTTCAACGAGATTTCGAGACAGTGCACAGATAAGTTCCCTAATCACAGGGTGTGCTTCATGGATGGTTAAGGGATTTTAGCTTCAAAGTTTTGTCTTCTCTGCATTGAAATTAAATACATAAAACTGAAATAAAGTGCTTTTTCTACAGTTGTATCAAATTTTATTAATTTATTAATTTTTGCCAAAGCTAAAAGCAATTTAAAGACATTTTGTTAACTCCAATCGATAGACCTTTAATGAATTGCTCATGCTTCAGTTATCTGCAAAAAAAAGCACATTTTCTGCACCCATTTTCTTCCCTTTTCAATAATCAGATACTTTTCTAAAAATACATACAAGTTTTTTAAGAGAAAATAAAAGAGAATGAGAAGGTCTGGCAAAATATTTATGCTCAGCATTTTTTGCACTCAACAATTTCAGAAAAAAAATCAAACAATATAAGGAAATTTTCACTGATTTCTAGATTTTCCTTTTCCAGTCAATTTGGCTTTAAATTAAGCTTTTGGGAGAAAGGAAACGAAACAATTTGTTTAGTGGCAGCTCAATTTGGAACCAATTCAATTACCATCAACGTCAAAATCAAGATTTAACGACCAACACTAAATAATATTTTTAATATTTTTTCTTTTTTCTACATAATAGTATTTTAAATATTTTGATGATTTATGTCAGATGTAACTGATCAGTTGACTAATTTTAACTACTTACTTTAGATATCAACGTCCAAAGTTTGAAAGGCGACGATCTAAAATATTTCCTTTCTTTTTCCTAAAAAATAGTATTTAAAATATGTTGATTCATGTCACAAGTGATTGATCAGTTGACTAATGATAACTAATTATGGTAAGTGGCGCTTCTGCTTTTCCATTCAGTCGAGCACAAGTGAAGAATCAACTTGAACAAGCGACATCTTTCAGTTGAAGTCTGCCTGCCAGAAAATCAAATGAATCAACGAAAAATTCAAATATTCCTCGGAGGGCTGTATTTATGAAAGCCCAGTGGGTGAGAATGGGTGGTAAACGCCCTTGAATGGGTGGATGGGTGGTTTGTGGGTGGATATTTCGCCGGCAATGGCTGCAGGCAGCCCAATGACGAGGCACAACAATGCGTCGCGTCATTGAATTATTATGATTGACTTTTATTACACGGAATCGCAATTTATTTTACTTAACAACAGGCTGGGTTCGCAGCCCGGAGTGCGGTTAAAAGTAGCGAAAATTTGAATGAAAAGTTGTAAAGAAATTACGTTATTTATCATTCGGAGAGTGGCGACCGGGCGACAGGGACACATTCTCGGGGAAAAAAGGGACAGAAAGAGAGCGCCCGACATCTCCCAAACCGTTTCCGTATCCGCTCATTTATTTACCACACTGTCAAGCGCACACACAGATGCACAGAAAGAAATAACTGGCATTAAAACCTTCATACTTCACTCAGAATGGTTTTTACTCAAAATTTATTTAGAAGATATTCCATATTTAATTATAAACTCAAATAAATCCGATGATATTTTTTAAAAGTCAGTTAAAATAATATTTTCTTAGACTTTTCCCTGTGCACCCCCAACCGAATATTGATGCTTTTCCCGCCGCAGTTTGTGCACAGTTAAAAAGTTTTCCGCGGCGGCAGCAGAAATTCAAATTTATTGTTTGCGGTCGCCCGGCTTCCCGGCCACGCCCACCTTTAGTCGATGGGCTTAAAATTAGTGGCGTTGTCTTGCGAATCGATGGGCGTTTGATTAACGGTCGCGCCAGGAGATCGAATCGCCTTAATTGCCTTAAAAGTAGGCGTGGCTGTTGCTAGAGGGGGGCAGGGTAGGGGGAATTAATGGCAGGATAAAAGTCGTGACTATCCAATTACACACGATGTAGCCAGGCTCAGGGAAGTAAGCCGTTTCGGTTCCGCCATCACTTACCTTTAATTAGCTAATTCCCTTTAAGGTCTTCGCCCTCAATTGTGGTTCGGGGATTACCCGATGGCGCACTCCGGGGATTAGAGTTTAGTAATTGCTGTAGAGGACTTTTCGGCTTTGTGCCCAACTGGAGGGCATCGGCTGAATGGCAAAAGAAAGTTGCCCAGGCTCCGAAGCCGCGAAAACTTTCTCCGCTGCGGAGCATAGAAAAAAAAGAGGAAAAAATTGCTGAAAGAGGCTGAGAAATGTAATGACGGTATTTATGTTATCTGCCATCTAACTCCGCACTTACATTTATCTGCTTATCTCGGAAATTAATTTCAATAAGAGTGAACTTTTGATGGGGTACTAAAAGTCATATCAGAGGTGTACTTACGTTGCCTTGTTCAGAAGAAGAGTGCATTTCTTGAAGAGTTTTCTTTTCTAATGGAAGAGATTAAATGTTGTAAGTCATTCCTATAAACTTTTTACCAGTTTAAAGATGAAAAGTTTATATAAAGAAGAATAACGACAAGATTTTTGTTAGCCTTTTTTCTGGTCTTTAAAAGCTTAAAAACAGCTCTTCAAAACCTTTGATATAGAAACTACTATTTGGTTCTATTAAAATATTCTATTGAACTATGAATAAATTATGTCTGGATCATCGACCTCTTTATACAAAATGTTGCCAATTTCAATTGATTTCATTTCTTTTCATTGGATGATTAAACCTCGTTTAAATATCAACCTTTCCCCGCCAACTTGTCGGCTTTTAAAACAATTTTCCAAGAATTTTCTTTGTTTTACCCTTGCATTCATGCGCATTTTCCCATTTAAAAATAATTCATATTCATTTAAGGGGGAAAATTACGGCGCAGAGGAGGACAAAGCGCAATCCGGCGAACCACCGATGTGGCTGGGGCCCGCCAAGCAGTGCAATTCAATGCGGACTGGCTTCAACCGCAGGCCGCGACATTCCAGTGTCAAGCGTTTTCTTCCGATGGCAGTGAAAACCGCACAAAAGCCGAACCCACCTCCCCTCGAGTTGCCCTCGATTTTGGCCGGGTTTATTCAATGCAGCCAGGGCCAATGCCATTGCCATTCCAGCAGCAGATCCTTCGCCTTTCGCTGGAGGCGAAGGGCTACGCTTTTGTTTTTCCAACTGGTTGACTCGGGCCACCTTCTTGGGAACTGCTGGAGTTTCCAGCGAACGCTCTTCCCGCCTCCTCCTCCTCGGCCACCAGTTTCCATCTTACCGCCGGGCTGTTTGTATGCGTCTGCTGTGGTTTATGTCCTCGTTGTTGACATTTAGTTGACACACACACAACACGGATCCCCCTGCCCCTGCCTCTGCCTCGTCCTTCTCGTCCTGGATCCTGGACTTCCGGCAACAGGCCCTGGCAATGGATCATCGGCGTCTTTGTTTACATATCGCCACTGAAGTTTGCAGCTGCCTCTGCGGCAGTCCTCTTGATTGTTCATCGTCAGCTGGTGCGCTTTATTGTTGCTAACTAGAAAAGCTAGGACGTCCATTCTGCCTTACAGAATGTCCTTCGGCTTACAGTGGGCGGGAATGGAGATACCTCTAATCGCAAGGGTCTTTAAGGAAGTCATACCCGCACGATCAATTTAATACTTTTTTTATTTATTTATTTTTAATTATTTTTATTATTTAAATATTTTATTCATTTATTTTATTTTTTTGTTTACTTTTTTATTTACTTTTATTATTTCATTTATTTATCTACCTAAATATGTATTCAATTATTTATTAATTTATTTATTTACTTACTTATTTGCCTGTTACAACATTTCAATTTCTGTGCTTTAATTGTGAGTACCAAAAAATGGCTTATTTGGCCCACTGTGTGGCAGTGGTGTAAACAATTTTTGAAAGGTTATTTCGTCTGAAACAGTCGCGGCCCGCTTTTTGTTCCGTTTTGCACTTCATTTACCATCAGACCACCCAACCCGAAAGCCGTCCTCCTAGTCCAAGGCGTCCATTCGTCCAAGTCGTCCTCCTCGGGGCAGTAAATCCTGTTTACCCTCGCCGTTGTCGTTGTCTTTGCACTGGATGCATCGCCAGGACAGCTATTTGTTATGTCGTTTGACTGAAGCTGCTGACATTTATCCAGAAACTGCAGTAAGCAGAATGAATATGCAGAGGATGCTGCCTCAGATATTAAATCGCCCCCTGGCAATAAGTAACTGCAGAGAATTTCCTTTGGATATTCTAGCCTTGAAAATATAGCGGGCATAAAGTACAAGAATGGACGTCCGAATGGTTTTCTAGGAACTCCATTTGTTATAAAAGATGCATCTACTCCTAGTTAGAGACATTTTTCCTTATTTTATTTAATGACCGCAAACTGCGTATATATTTTGAATTTGCCTCTGGGCTTTTTTGTGGCAACTAGATTTAAAGATTAAATTTAGTTTATTTCTAGGTTCTGCAATTAGTAAGGAAAGCAAAAAGGTTAGAGCTAGAAAAATCCCCAAATGTTTATTTAAAATAATTTTAAAATCATTTTTAGCCAAACGAAAAATTGATTGGCAACCAATGTTTTATTTAACTTGGTATATAAACTGTTTCAAATAGTTCAAAACTTATTTGCGCCTTCCTCCGGGTGTGGGTCTAAATGGTTTACGCCGGGATTTTGAGTCGACAATAAGCACGGATTGTCGCTTCAGGAAGTTGCGGGAGGGCACTTCATTATCATCATCGGTGGTGGCCACTGTGGGTAAAATGTTTTCGAAATGGTTAAGAGCTATGTTTAAAGTTTCTGAGATCAAATTGAAATTTACCCGCCGCCGGAGCCTGTTCTGGAGAAGATGAGGAGGTGCCGGCAGCTCTCTGGGCTCTTCCTGCGAACAGGTTGTAGTAGCAAACGGGCATGGGCTGTGGCTTCTCGCCCTCGGGGGCGGATGGCGACTTGGGGGGCTCCGCCTTGTACATGTCCTCCTCCTCCTCATCAACTATGTCCAACTTGGGTATCTCGAACGGCGGCACATCCTCCGATTTGCTCAGCTCTTGGCAGCGCTTGATCTTTAGTTTAAGGATCTAATAAAGATCAGGATTTTAATATCTAAACTCCTAATATAAACATAGTTATCTTCTACCTCAATCATATCCTCATCCTCGGCAGTATGGGCCAGAAAATTGGGTAGTTCCGCCACGCTAACATGGAGTTTTCTTTCGGCTATCTCGATGTTGCTCTCGTCCACCTCCTGCACCTTGAAGATCATCTCGCAGATGCGCTCTTTCAGATACTTTAGCACCCCCATCGATTTGCCCGCCTCGTCAGTGTCCAGTTGGCGATCTTGCTCCATGGCGGCGATGCTGTTCTTGATCTGCTCGATAACCTCTTGGTTACTGGGAAAAAATATGATTTTAAATATCAAGTTAATTGTTATATTAAATGAAATTATATTGGAGTACCCACACTTCACTCTCCTTGACGTCTGAGAACTTGGAGGCTTCCAGTTCGCTGGTCAAAGCCTCCCGTTCCGCCTCCAGATTGGCCTTTTCCGCCTCGGCCGCCTTGCGCAGGTAATTCAAGCGGGCTGCGGACTCCTTCTGGGCGCTGAATCTCTCGAAGACCTCGAAGGGCGAGGTGGCTCCGGAGGCCTCCATGAGCTGCTTGAACAGGGACTCCATGTCGCTGGTAACGCTCTCCAGCTGGGACACCGGCTCCTCCTCGCCGTTCTCCGTCTTGGCTGTATGCTGATCGCCCGAGCTGGAACCCACGCTGTCCTGATGGACCAGTGTCTTGGTTTCGGCAAAGAGCTTGCGCCCAATCCGCTCCAGCTCCAGCTTGCGAGCCTCCACCTGCTTGCGGAAGTCGAGGGCCTGCCGCTCCCGCGTCTTCTGCGACAGATTGGCCTGCTGCTCCTGCCGCTGCAGAATCACCTTGGCCGCGTCCCTCATCTCGACCGCCTCGTTGTGCACCTGCTGCAGTCGCTCAATCTCCGCCTTCTGGTCACTCAGCGAGGCCTCCAGCTCCCGCAGACTCCGCTCGAAGCGCTCCGCATCCGTCATCAGGGACGCCTCGATGGAGCGGTACTTCTTGCGGATGTGCTCCGCCTCCATCCACTGCACGTTGGTGCGGTGGATCTCGTTCTCCAGCTGGCACACAAGCTGAATAAAATTATGGAAAAATAACGAATCAGAATAATATTAAATAAACAGTAAATAAAAAACAGGAAGCAATTTTCGATAATTATTATTGCCTATTAAAATCCATCGCTCTTAAAATAATAATTTTTTAAATATTAAATGCAAATATTTAAGTTTTTCTTTTGTTAACTTATTGAAGTTGCATTGCTCTCACCTTCCTGTTGGCATCCTCTTCAAGGGTTTCCGGTGGCTTTTCACCCAGATTCTGGTTCTGTGCCTCCTTGTTGGCCAGCAGTCCCCTGTATTTCTCCACCAGCTTACTGAAGTGCTGTTGGCGCGACTTGAAGCGATGCCGCAGCAGATCCATCTGCTTGCGACTCTCGGTAATCTTGAGATCAGTTAGAAATATCGCATCATCGGCATTTTTGGCTCCCACGGGATAGGTGGCCTTGCCCACAATCAATGTGGGCGTACAGCTCTGCGCCCTCCGGGATTCCCCTGTCGATTCCTTGATGACCACCGGTCGCTGGAGGGGATTTCGCAGTCGACTCGCCTTGACTGTCAGCTCCTTGATGTCCTTTTTCAAGGAGCCAATTGTGTCACAGTTGATGCGGTTCTGCTTCTGCCACTCGGCCGCATTTGCCGTCTTTTGGCCCTCTGCAAGGATTTGTTTTACTATTATTACTTGAATTGAATTAAGGGCTTCAGTACTCACCTGCCAGTAAAATGCGCTTTTTAATCTCATTTATTTGTCGGTTCAATTCGTTTAACTTGTCCGATTCCATGGCTTCATCTGTGCGGTTTACCTTTTCGAATTAGTTTCACAAAGTAAGCCGTTTGTTTAATCGATACTAAAATTGTTGTGGCAACGTTTGAGTTAACGAAGAGCACTCTTGGTTGCTAGCAACTATCTACCCTCCCTATCGAAAAGCTTTTCGTTTCTTAAAAATAAAATAGAATATCTTTTTTTGTAACTTTTAAAACTTTTACATAATTAAAATTAGTAAAACATCTGGCTATTTTCCTAGAATTTTTAATATCTCAACCACTTTATTTACAAAATATATTTAAAGATTCCACAATAATTTTTCGTCAGCTTGTAACACGCCGCCGAACGCAAGAAACACCAAGGAATTCACTGGGAATTCAACTGGAAAGCAATTAATTTGTAAGTTAAGAACTCCAATCTAAGCGGGATTGTATCGCACTGTTCCGGACCCTCGCGACGAATTCGGCGGCGTGGCTAGGCTCGCGGAAGGAGCAGGCAATCCTCTCCAGAATGCCCACCCGACTGGAGGCATAGTTGATGTTGGTCCAGCGGCAGCTGTAGGAGCTATTGGTCATGTAGTCGATGCGCCATTTTTCGTCCACTCGCATGTGGATGATCAGCTCCCCGGTGACCTTGTCGTGGAGTACTATGTAGTACGAGCCCTGGTGCTCCAGGATTTCGATTTTGCCCTCGCCTGAGAAGGAGGGGGAACGGTGAGGAGTCTCGGGGGTACCGCGTACCTTACCTTGCCGTTTCCACTCCTTCAACTTGTTGAAACAGAACAGCCTAACGGACTGACTGAACAAAACCCTGCCACTATTCAGAATGTCCCCCAGATCGGCCACTGGTCTAGTTAATCCATGGACTTCTCGAAGGGACTTCGTTGTACCTAACTTGTTCTGGACTTGCGAGTCATCGCTTTCGGAAACCTCACTGAAAACGGAATCCTTGCTCACACTCAAACCGTTGCAAGTCAGTCCTTCGCTAGCATCTAGTCGGTATAGTATAGGAAGTGGTTCTCTATATTCGCTGGGACTTCTAATCATGGGCTCACCACAGCCCAGCGAGGTTTCTTCAATTGCCTTCTTGCTGCTCTCCACCTCCGAAGTGAGCTGAAAAATGTTCTGCCTAAATACTCGGGAAAAGGTTAACGAGCTCCTGACCTTTTCAAATCGGTTCAATCTGCTCTTATAGGAATTATCTGAAAAAAAAATGATTAGATAGTAAACGAATACTGGTCCTATTGAAAACCCCTTACCATTATAAGAAGCCTCCAACTTTTTAAGCATTGTTAAGCTTAAAATAAGGGACTTTAGGGATCGATATGTCTCCTGTTGAATCATCTCCCTGGATCGCTTGTTCGCCCTTTTCATTACTCTGTCGCCAAAGGAATGCCTGACACTGGGAGTCCAAGCCAACTTGTTTCCTATCAAGGAACTAATAAAACCAAGTTTAGGCTTCGGGTTTTCAACTAATGGAGCAATCAGTTCTTCGATCTGAAGAGTTTTTGGGGCAAGGATGTCAACTGATATTGGCTTTAGCTCTGCTGAACATAATAGTTTTTCAATGATTTTAGGTTTCGGTTTTTCTATTTCTTCTTCCCCTTTTAAATTAGGTCCTTCAATTATAGGTGATTTTATTTTTTCGCTTTCTGGTAAATTTAATCCCTCTAACTTTGGTTCTTCAATCCCAGTGAAATGTGTTTCCGTTATCCCTGGTATATTTAATTCTTTGATAGGTTCTATTTCCAGTCGTTCGATCTCTGGTTCAGTTGGATTCTCAATTTCAGCTAATGCTACTTCTAGTTCACGTTCAATTTCTTCGCCAGCACAAGCCATTTCCAGTTCTGGAATAAAGTACGGTATTGTAACTTGGCTTTCTTCAGAACACTCGGACTTTAGGGACAAAGGTAGTTCATATTTGCCAAAATAGGAATGATCCCCTAAGTCTAAAAGGTCCTTCACCTCACTATGTTTACGCAATTGATCTATGATATTAAAAGGTGACAAAAGGCTATCCATAGGTAGGCTGCAGTCTACTTTAAAGGACTCTTCCAAGTTAGTTTCAAGGGAACTTTCTCCATCCATTTGATTGACAATATCCGAGGCCTGAAGATCTGACGAACCAGGACTTCCCTTAGGTGGCTGTGATTGCAAATCCGATTGCATTTCGCCAACTGCAGTGGGCTCAGTTTGCATTTCTGCATTCAATCCATCCTCTTGACTGTCCAACATTGTCTAAGCCGAATATCTACCGAATGAAAATAAAATGAATAAAAATTTACTGGTATTTTAAAGATTTTACAAATGACTTACAGCTTATTGAGTGTTGATTCAATGTGGAGAAAATTCTTTGACGTTTTTGCTTTATACAGAGTTACTAAGTTTGGGCTATTATTAAAAATGAAGGGTTTGTTGTTTGATTTATTTTAAGTTTTTAATTGGAAACATTACGAGAAACTATTAGTTAATTTTTTTTAACTATTTGAATTAATTTATTTAGCAAATGACATTTCATGATTCACAACAATTCTTTTTTATCTTTTGCGCTATGAAGTTTCACGTGTTCCTTTTTTATTGCCATCATATATATTCATTGGTTTCACTGCCAGGTCAGTTCTGGGCCGCCTTCAGTTGGACATAACAAGATACAACTGATTCGGGGAACAACTTCCGTTCATTGTTGTCCGCACGCATGAGCCATCTCGGCCCCTGTGTCTAATTACAATTTGCTTTTTGCCCAACGGAGCGTATGCGTAATCACAGAGACGGGAAAAGGAAGCTGGCATGTGGAACAGTCCGTCGTGGAGTGGGAATCAAATTACAGTGACATCAACTTTCCGCTGGCTTTTCAATGAGCGAAATGGGAATGGAAACAAAAGCACCTGAAGGCCAAAGCAAAACATTATTTTCTTGGTGCGATGAGGACTCGAAATGCTCTGAATGTAAGCAATATATATATATAGATGAGAGCCCGCAGCTAAACAAATACACGGGGGACAGGTCGAAAGCAAATAGCGCAGGAAAAATATTTGAATCTGAAATATGCATAAAATGCGGGAAAACGAATTCAAAGCTTGGCGAAATAAATAAATAGCGAATGCAAACAAAATGGAACAGAACAGAACAAAAAAATGCTGAAAACAAAAAGGGAGGAAGGAAACTTCCATTCTCAAAGTAAAACAATCAAAATTTGCGCACCATTAAATTTTGTATGGTACTCGTTCCACCAAAGTTTCCCCAGTTCTCTCTTGATTTTTCGCAATTTTCTCATTTTCCCCGTACTGTGCATACTCACATGTTTGTATGTGCTCCAAATTGACTTTCTGCACAATGTTCAAAGCTTAGAATTTTTTGATTCGACTTTTTCCCAGTCAAGGGGAAGCTTCTGGCATCCTTGTAAATATTTTGGTGACACTTATCTGTTTGCAAAACCGATCAAAGCGCAGAGACAGCGAAATGTCAGTTAAATCGTAGCACAAATAGGTTTTGATTTATGACTTTGTTTTCGCAAATCCAGCTTTAGTCGTATCGATACAGATCGGAACCCATCGACAGAGCAGATTATATGTGGTTTATGTGATTTTTAAATAGCTCTCTTGCATCTAATTAAATCTACCATAAATGAAAAACAAATGAAATTATTCAATATTTGTTTTTTGAATTTAGCTGTGGTTCGGGGCAGTTATAAATTAGCATTTGTTAAATATTAATTGGTGTGTTTGTAAATAAAACCATTTTTAAATTATGTGACATTTTATTTGATTTAATATTCAATGGTAAGCATGGAGAACCAAAAATGAATTAAGCCTGATGGTCTTTAATTGGGGTTTTTAATTGGTTTTTATTTTTTATGTATTCATGTTTGATTGTTTATGAAGTTATGATAGCAATGCAGCATCCAAAACTCTTCTAGTTATTTCCTGATTTAAATAGTTTGAAAAGGGTGGCACTAACGTAATTTAATAATCACTACTTCAACGAGACTATCTAGTTGAAGTGCCATTAATTTGGCTGGTCAGCCAACCAGAAGGTATACTGGCTTCTAATGGTAACATTATATTGTAATTTCCAAAACCAACTTAAATATTTAGCTCATGGTAACCCAGGTCCTCGAGTTAACTTTCATCTCTCGAGTGTGCAAGGCAGCCTGGCCGAAAGTCAGGCAGACTAGGTAGTTGCCGAGTGGCACCTGGCCCAGGTGCGACATTCTGCAGCTGCCAGGACATGCTTCGAGCCCATTAAAACTAATTACTCATAATCATTTTGGCTACTGCTCCACTGCCTCCGGGTAACCATCCCATGACTCTTGGCGAGCGACAGTCACAGCTGCCACATATACATTGAAATTAATTAAAATTAAAATGGGAGTGCTTGCGGATGGGAAAGTGGGATGTGCAAATGGAAATGGAAATTGAAATGAATATGGGGCTCCGTGGAACTCAACTCAACTCAAGTCCTGGCTGATACCCGTGAAAACGACTCAACCACAGATGATGGGGAAATTAGTGGCAGGCGAAAGAGCAATGGAGTTGAGTCAAAAGTACAAAGTCAAGTGCGCGCGGCCACCGATGAAAAATCTCTGCGAAATTAATTAAATTCTGTAATTTAAGGCACTCCCCGTTGACATCGCCGACTCCTGCGGCTGCACAGTACGTTTACGTACATATGTGAGATGCTTTTATCATGATTATATAGTATAACCCCACTCAGGCACCTGGGTTCGCTGACCTTTCGTCCTGACATTTGCTCGTCATACAAGGAATGCAGGCCAGGTCCATGCGCCTTTTCCACTGGCTAAAAAAATTATCACTAAAATCAAGACTAATAATAAAATGAATACCAGTTAAATTGTTTTATTTAATTTTATTTATTCAATTGTACACATTTGTATTATTTATATCGTTTGAAAACCGAAATAAACTTTGGAATTCTAAAATAATTAAACAGCCTGCGCTGACTGACACTTTTTCACCGCTAAAAAAGTACAACTGATTTGAAACTAACAATAATTTTGCTCAGTGCATTTGTTTGCTTTTAGACTTGGCATCCATGTGTGTGTGTGTGTGTGTGTGTAGGTCCTGCAGGCATTGCCTTCCTTCTGCCGCTGTCCGCCAGATGGCGCTACCTCTGTAACGCTGTCAAGCGCAACGCAGCGCAAAATTATTCTAATTAGAGTGCCCCGCCTCCCGCCGTTTCCGTGATATCCTTTACAGGTCCTTTGAAAAGTTATCCAGTTAGATGGGTAGAGGAACAGAGACGTCTGTGTGTGTTTCTAATTTGTCTGTTATTTTTCTGGCTTTAAGCACTTTAGTTTACCAGCAGTTACACTCCTTTCAAAGAGCTAATGTGTGCCTGTGTGTGGATGAAAGCTTCGTGTGAAATGTATTTGCCTTTCTGATTTTAAATGGAACTAGAGTATCAGACTACAAACTAGAATTAATGTAAAAGCACTTACAAGAGTTTTCCAAGAAAATGTTCTTGGAATAAAATATTTCCCTAACCTTAACTTTAAAAAATAAAGAAAGACATTTAGACATGCCACCTGCAAAGCGAAATTGCTACCAAATATCAGTCAGTTGGACAGCCCCTGAAGCTGTGACAAAATGGAATTTTTAAATGTGATGGCAAGCTGAATTTATGTTGTAATCTCACGGCACGGAGACATTGCCCAGGACTTATGTGCATGATTTATCTTGAGCCGCATAACAAAGGCGGTGCAGACACTTCCTGTGCGTGACGCAGATCCTCCGGCACCAGCACCCCACCCGTTCATGAATCACCCGCCGAGTGGCAACATGTGCTTAATAGTTTAACGCTTCGTGTGCCACTTAGCTGGGCGTGAATGCCTATCCTGCGGAGGAGTCAGCAGCCAGCCTCCTCCTATCCTCCATCCAATGCTGCTGATAATAATGGCAAAGTACTGTACTGCAGGAGGTGGCAACGGAGGTGATGATGCACTCTGTCTCCCAGGGTCTTCCCATCCCCGTGCCGCACTCGTTTTTCGTTTCTGTCGTTAGTGGATCCGACTCAGTTACAAATCCGCGACGTTCTTTTCTGCATGCCCGCCGTTTTGCTCCGCTTTGCCGACCCAAGCCAATTTCATCATCATCTCGTTCCGCGTCATGAACGGACAAACGGACAGGCATACGGACGGACTCCCCTTCCGACATGGAGCAGGCGGCCAGGCCAGAGTCCTGATTCCCGTGTCCTCCCAACCTGACATCGCGTGTCGCATGATGTATGACACTTTTGCGCCTCATAAACAGCTGTGTTCTGCCCACGATAATAAGGTACCACCACTTGGAAAAAACTATGGGTTAATAAAGTTTGCAACTACAATTTATACTAAAACTTATAGTTATTACATTTTTATCATTTAAAACTTTTGCTATGAAATTTATAATGCGACTTTGGTAATAAATATAATCTTATCCTTCCGACGCTAGGATACAAATAAATATTATTATTAAAATAATGGCTAATCAATATTTTTAGCATATATTTTCTAAAATTGGTATGCAATATAAACATCTTATGTACCTACTATTAGTAATTTATTATTCAAAATTAATTGGGTTTTTAATTTAAATAGAAAAATTATAATAATAAATAAATATACCAAAAACAGGAATCCACAAAATATAAAAAAAAAGAAAAAAAAAAAAAAAAAAAAAAAAAAAAAAAAAAAAAAAAAAAAAAAAAAAAAAAAAAAAAAAGAAAATCCCCTATACTAACTTTAAGCAGGACTCAAATATTCTGATCAGAGAGAAATATTTTTCAAGTGCACCTGTACGACGAACCGGGACACCTGTCATCCCCATCCCCCTGCCCGCCCACCACCTTGTTGCTCTTTTGTTTTCGTGCATCGTCCAGACAGCCTGTGCAAAATGGGGTGGCTCTGTTTGTTTTGGGTTTGGGGTCTGGGGTGGTACTGTTGTGCTGTTTGTTTTCGCTTGCTTTAACGAAATTGGCACGACTGGCGGGTGGCGATGCCGCCGTGTTGACTGTTTGGCTATTTGCTCGTTTACGTTAACGGTGAGCTGACTTATTTTCCTCGGCGGTGCAATTCAAATATGCCGGGAGTTCCTTTACCCACAACCGGTTGATTGTACGAGTCAAGTCAATTGACCTTTGGCATTCACTGTGATCCCTTGAAATTCCGTTTGCTTCAAAGCTACAAACAGTTATTTATCTAGACTGACATACGTTTATTTTTGGAGCTCAATTACTTAATTCTATAATTTGGTATATTGACTGATTATTCCGTTTAAAAATTGGTTGTTGGATATTTTTATCTGCAGCAGTATTTACAGTTTTTTCGAGTTTAATACAATCCGATTTTCATGGGGTTTTATAGAGAACTCATATAAAAAGGGCTGATGTTTTTCATGTTGGCCGGAAAATATGTCTCCTAAAAGAAACAACAAGATATTTACATTTATATGAGTGATTTATTGCTTCCATATGAAAGAAATTGGTTAATTCATTCGATTCAGTAAAATAAAACGAAAAATGTTGATCCCTTTAGGTATATTAAAAAAAGGTAAAAGGCTTTAGGCTCTATGAATAAATTTTAGTCTTTAAACTCTGCTAAAAAATCGTTGTTTGCTAAAAAATCTTAGTTTATTTAATAATCGAAATGATTAAAGATTAAATGTAGTTTTGCTCTGAGTGCAGTGCAAACATCCAAAGTTTCCCATCCACTAATTGAATAAGTTAGTTTTCCGGAACGGAACATGCGGTTATAGTTGGCTTCCTTTGGCTCGGTGGAGCGGATTCCCCGCTGCACGGATTTCTGCACACAGAGCTAACTAAACTTTTTGACTTCCATTTATTTGCAAACACGCTCATCATCATTTGGGCCTGGCCGTGCTGAAATACCATTAAAATCACATTTCGATTTAATTTGCATAAATTGAAGTCGAGGCAGCCAGCGGAAAATGAAGCCGAACGAGCGGCAGTCTAAACATGAACTAAAACGCCATTCAAAATCGATTCGAAATCAATTAGAGAGTGATTTGCAATATATATATTAAACGAAATGCTTAGTCGCAGACGGGTAAATCAACCGAATCGCCGGACTTTTCGGGAGTCCGCAGTCTCGACCCAACCCAGTGCATTGAATTTAACGGGTCCAAGGACACGAGGAGGATTATGACACTTTTTGCGGCTCGCTGCCTCGCATATTCGGCTTTTGCTTTTATTGAGCGAAATGAAAAATTCAATTAAAATGCACACATGCTCGGTGCTCGGAACTCAGAACTCGGATCTCGGAACCCCACAGCTCGACGGCCCAACCCTAAAACCCGGCCACATTCCGTGCCAGGGAAAAAATTGAGAGCGGAACGAACATGGCTGGCTGGCAGGAAAAACGAAAGGAAACGAAATGTGAAAAATCAGCATAACAAAGTGGGAAAAACTATGAAAATGCATTCGCCCGGCATGGCCGCTTTCACTTTTCTTTCTTTATGTTTTCCTTTTTTTTTCGGCAGTTTTTCGCCACGCTCCACGAACCTGGCGACCATCCAGCTAGACGTACTCATGTGTCCATGGACCTCGGGACAGGCGACACAATATAGTAGCCCCCATATCTCGCCGGTGCTCCCAAAAGGGCTACGGATGGAAGTGCCAGTATGTAAATAGCCGAGTGCTGTAAGCACATTTCATTTGCACAAAGAATTAGACCTAGAAGGCCTTTGTGACGGGGGTCCTGAGCTGAAACCAACCGAATCAGCATTTATTGTTGTCGACCCTTTTAAAGTAACAAATTTTGGGGACTGTTTCGAGAACAGAAATTGGGTACAATAAAAGTACAGTTTGTTTAGCAGGATAAGAGAATATTTGTTCTAAAAAAACATTAGTATAATTTGTTTTAAATATATTTAACAATCTAGATTTAAAACGAAAACCTTTGAAATAAATGATAGATTAAAATAATTGTAAATAATATTAAATAATTTAAAAATAAGTCACAATTTTATATTTATTTTCATTAAATTCTTATCTTTAATTAGCTCTTTAATTAATTGTGCTCATCACACTAGTTAAATAATCCGGAAAAATGTTTTCATCTATAAACATTTGTTCTTCGCTCCATTGTGTTATTTTGCGTTTCCAGTTTATCTTTTCCAATTATTTCGGTGAAATTGTACATATACCGTTTTAATTATGTCAAACGTTTTCGTTGATTATTTTTCAACTCGTATTTACGTTTATTATTTTTGATTCTGCGCCTTTGTTGCCCTGACACTCTGTCATTTCGCTAGAACTCGCATATTAAACGCCTGCAAATAATGCAGCGAATTGGGAGAATAGTAAATACATCTGCGCGTCGCGGGGCTAATGAAACAAATGCCGACACCCCGACCTCTCCGATTCTGTCAGAATCAGTTGATATGGGGGGCCCAGCGAGCCCGGCAAACAAACTGCAAAGCTGAATTTACGGTTGGCGCTTTTGAATCGACAGCCGGAACCGGCAGCTGAAAGCCGGGAAGGGACGATGGTGGAACTCGGTTTTATGGCGGATTTCGACGAAATATAAAAATAAAATTGGATTTTAGCATGGATCGTAGAAGGCCGTAAATATTTTTCAATTCACTGGCCCCGAAAGGGGATGAGTTGGGTGGGGACCATCACCCGCACATATGATTTCCCCAAGGGGTGCAAAGGGGTTCTGCGGTTGGGAATCGCGTGCGAATGATTTGGCAGAATTAACTCCCCGACACCCGGAGGCGTCAAGGCCCCAAAACACATGGCCCATAATAGGAGGGTTGGGGATTCGGCGGCAGCAACATGTGGGGTGGGGATTATCGAGCGGGGAGAAAGCCTCATTTGAATGCCGAGCGAAGCGATTTCCTTTTTTTTTTTCGGTGCGTGTGGGTGGCCAACCCTTTCTGATCCTTTCAACGGCGGAGCGAGTCCTTAGCCCAGGGCGTTAGATAAAAGTTGGAGCCTGCTTAGGCTACCTCAACAAATCCTCCGAAAACTCATTTCGTGTTGCCGGCGCCAAATTGATTTCATTGCCTGTTTGTGCTTTGTTTCCCAGCTAAATGCCAAACTCCCTCTATCCTTTTTGGTTCTGATTTCTAGTTGCGGTTCGGCCTTTATCTTTAACAAATATATATGGGCATTCCTGCGGCATTTTGATTAAAATTTTGATTGGAATTCGGTGTTGCCTGCATGGCGTGTTAACCGCTTGAAATTCTTTTGATACCAAATAAGTTATCAATATTTAAATTGGAGTCGTAAATTCTATCTCTATTCTAAACTTTTTTAAAATATACGAAAAGGATTACTTTTAAAGATGATTGGCCTGAAAAGAATATAACTTTAAAGAAAGTGACGAAAAATTAAGTTACTTGAGCCTTTATATTATTTTCTTAAAAAAGAAATTAACACTATTTTTCCAACATATTATAAAAAAAAAAAGTGTTAAGTTACAAAGTAAATAAATTGGTAAGCCTAGAATTTCATGAAAAAATAAATTTCTAGCTTTTATAGTTTCCGAGATCTCAGCGTTCATACAGACAGACAGACGGAAAGACAAACAGAAAGACGGAAAGGAGGAAAAGAAGAAAAAAGGAAAAAAGGAAGCATATCCTAATATATAACGCTTCCTTCTACCTGTTACATACTTTTTCCCAAAACTAAAATAACCTTTTTTTCTACAAGGAAAAAAAAAAAAAAATAAAGTCGTTCAAGAGTAAATTGGTAATAAAAAAAATTTCAAGATTTAAACAGATCCTTTTTTGTGTAATATTGTTATCCCTGATATCTTATCCGTGTCGTCATGCTGTAACTGTCATTATAAGCTGGAAAATATTTTTTTAAACACAAAAAAACTTTTAACTTCCAATAATGTGCCATTAGGATAAATTGACATGGAAACGCCAGTCCGGAGATGCAGAATTGTATACTAGGTATCCCAGATGGCCAGAAGAGTGCAATGGAAGCGTTTAACACAAGCCTTGGATCGTTTCCACCAGGCTGCCTTCAGTCCGAAGTATCTCCTGCTTACCAACATCGGCATCTCCGTGGGCTTGAGCATGGTGGGTGATAGCATGGAACAGAGCTACGAGCGCTTCATAGGGGAGCTTCCGGAATGGAACCGGATACGAACACTGCGGATGGGCATTTCCGGTTTTACGGTGGGCCTGGTGTGCCACTATTGGTATCAATACCTGGACTACCTATATCCCCAGCGCACCTATAAGATGGTCGTAGTCAAGATCCTGCTGGACCAGTTCATCTGTTCGCCCTTCTACATAGCCGTGTTTTTCCTCACCATGGCTGTTCTGGAGGACAATTCGTGGGAGGAGCTGAAGCAGGAGATTAAGGACAAGGCCTTGATCCTGTACGCTGCGGAATGGACAGTGTGGCCGTTGGCACAGTTCATCAACTTCCTGCTGATTAAGCCGCAGTACAGAGTGTTTTACGATAACACCATTAGTCTGGGCTATGACATTTTCACTTCCCAAGTCAAGTATCGCAAAAAGCCGGAGTCCAAGAACGAGTAATATTTTTAGCGAAGCAAAAAATTCAAAGTATTTTAAGAATTTTATCTGCTTTTCGACATTAAGCCACTCGCTCCAATATAAAAAATAAATTACAGGTAATGATATCAACAATTATGAAGACAATTGATAGCAGCTCATAAGAATTTTTTTTAAAGCCTACTCAAATATTTAAATATATGTTCTTAAATTATTATTTTAAATGCTTATTGAGATTTTTATATACCTACTGGTAACGACTTTATAGACATTTTGTAATGAAGAGTAAAATTTGTGGTATTTATTTTTCCTCTTTTATTTACATTATTCTTTTTCATATAAAAATTTTAAAAAACTCATATTTAGTAAATAATATTTACAGTCCCTGATAATATTTTACTTTATTATGGTTATTGGGGGGTAGACAACATACATTATTTTGATAATTCACTCTCCTTTTTGCTCTATGTTCTTCACCACAAATTATTGAGCTTTACAATTAGACTGTGGAATAAATCATTGTGATTGTCTAAAGCTTTCTTAAAGTGACTTATACTTTTATTCGGTACCAACAACGAAGCAACCTGACGCCAAGTCTCCTAGTTCCCAAACTGTTCTTCCGCTTTGCCCGGCGATAGACGATGATGGAAGGTGACCTCCGGCCCGAATTGTGGTCTGAGGGGCTGGTTACTTGTCAAATGCAGAACCTGGGCGGATTCTCCGTTGGGGACTGCGAAAGAGCAGATTGCGGGCGAGTGAATGGCATCGAGGACCGGAGAGATACTCGAGCCGTAAGCCCTCGACGAGGAATTGTGTCAAGCATACAAAATAAATAAAAGCACAGGGCCCAGTACGAAAAAATGCAAAAAAGAAAGGGAAATCAAGTGACAAAATTGATGTCAAGATGAGCGAGTGGCGGCCGTGCCAGGAGATCCACATCCCCAGCCAAATCCACATTCACGTCCAGGGGCGAGAAAAGGACTTCACGGCCACCGCCAGTTGACGCCACCAAGGAGAGACTCCCACTCACACACATGTCAACTAATCCAATTTAAATCTCTTAACATGATTTGCCGCTTTCTTTTCATTTTGTTGGATTTTATGCCATTATCCCTTTTGGTCTCCGTGTGTCCTTTTGGCAACCGAATCGCCAGGCACAACGAGAAGTCATCCACTTCGCTTTCTCCCGTTTTACAGTGAAAGAAATTAAGATTAGCCAGCAATTAAATATGGAAAAATACCTTATAAATAAAGATGAAAAAATTCAATATTTTTTAAATATTTAAAATATTTTAAAGCAGTTTTTAAAACGTATTATTTAATAATGCAATCAAAATTTAATAAAGAACGCAGTGCCAAACATTTCGAAAATCTACAATGCATATATTTTGCTAGTAAATATACTATTTTGTCCACTGTGCATCACTTACCCTTCCTTTGGCCCACTGGCAAGTTGACTTCCTGTCCTCACAGTTATCTCTCCCAAGGAGGATGCGCCTTCAAGGAGCAAGGACACCAAGGACTGCGGCCAAAGGGTTTATTTATTTGGCTTAGCGGCAGCCTCGGTTGCCTTAGTCGCTCTATCCTCATTTTGTGATTTAATTTAAAAGCTCAGTTCCAGTCCCACCCTGTGGAATCCTTTGCTGGCGGAGTGGGCGGATCTGGGGGCTTTTCGGCACGTGGCCAGCCAGCTCTGCTGGGGTTTTTGATGAGTTGTGTGTGGTTAAAGTATCCCAAATGAGACTACGTGTTGATGACCGACTTTTCCAAGTCACCGCCGACGGCTAACCAAAGACAGCTAGGGAAACAGGACTTCAAAATAGAGATGTTTGCCATTAGATAATATCCAATTTATTTGTACGCAATTAATTTAAAGCAAATGGGAATTTTATTTAATTACATTGCCTTTTAGAACCTGAAAAATCACTTTTCCCCGACAGCACTCGTATATTAAACATAATTATGTTCAAGTTGCCTTTATGACATGATAAAAATGTTCACACTTGCAGTCGGCAATTAGCTTAGCACCCCCTGGCAGTTTGTATTCCGGTTGTGATCGATATCCATTATATATGTGCAGGTTCCTGTACAATCGGGGGTCGAGTACTCTCATCCATCCACCCATCCGTCCTGGTTCAGGTGGGCCAGCCACGTTCAGTTAATTGGCACTCAGAGCCTTCAAACAGAAATGCCAATGATGTTTGTCTACGAAATTACCCCGACAGAAGGGACGGGATGTATGGTTATGTTACACAGTCCCTACAAGGTCCTGTATATTGTGGAGGCTTCTCCCGGACTTCGGAGTCTGTCTCGGGGCTCCGACTGACCCACCCGACCATAACCTATGCCCTAGTAATGGCATTGTGTGTAAATACAGAGAGCAAAAATATATGAAATATTATGAATGTAAGGATTTTCTAACCCAATATAAAGTTTATTTTTATTTTTGAGATCTAAGGCAAATCAACTGGCTAATTTATTTTTTAATTTAATCATAATTACTATTCCTTAATTTAAGTCTTAATATTTTCCTCAGTGTACTATAGCAGCTTCCAAACAGAATGGGTACAAGGATGAAAATAAAAGTGGGTTGAGCATTGTGTAGTCACATGCCCAGCAGTTATAATTCCATTTGCGATCATAAAAATGTATTACGATGGTAAGCTGCTCCTAACAGGCTACCTAATTAACGAGGTATTCACGAGCAGGTCGAGTACTGGACCCGCCCTTTGTTTCGCTGAGTGTACGACCATATAATGGTGAAATGGGTGCATACATATAGCTGAATATATATGTGCGTAAGCCCCGAACCGCTTTTCGAAACACAAACGACATAACTGCCATCAAAGCACGTGGCATATGTTGCTTATGGCGGGAAGTCCCCGCTCTTCTTCTTACCCTGCATAAAAGTTGCGTCAACTTAATTAGCCATAAATTAGCCAGGATTCACGCGTTTTTAACGACTTGTTTGTTCGCTGGGCGAGGAGAGGGTATGAAGGCCCTGTCCCATCATGATGGCACTAAGTCCATCTGTCAGCCAACTTGAACGAGTTAATTTATTTATCTTGCCGCAGCAGCAGCATCGCCAGACCCCTGCCCTAATGCCACTTGATTTATCTAGCTGAGTTGCTCAAAACTTTTCGCGCAAGAACGGGCATCTCGTGGCTCTGTCGAAGTCTTATTGCGGACAGCATTGATAAATATGGGTGTAAACAAGCTGCTGCTGCGTTCAAGCAAAGATAAGCCCGGGATCAGAGCATTAACTCGCTACAGCAAATGGATAATAAATGCACTCATTACTGGGGCACTTTGAAATCTTTATGGTAGTCGAACACAATAGCATTGAAAAGGGTTAGGAAGAATAGTAAGCAACCGTTACGATTTTTGTTTAATTCAACATACATATCCTTTTATTAAGTTCCAACAAAATTTATTCAAATATCAAACAATACAAATACAAATTTGTAGGTTATGTTTTAGTTAAAGAAAATTTTATTATGAGCTTACGTTAAATATTCACTGAGGTATTAAACGAAATATAGGATCATACCAGAATTCATATTTTATTTTAAATTTGTTGTTTTATTTACACAAAATAATTCATGACCCTAAATTGTGGGAGTGGTTGACAAAGATTAAATTGTCGTTTTGAATAAAAATTTTCCCATGCTTCCATTTCATTTTAACACCCGTGGCATTGACTTTCCATTAAAATTCCATCACTACTAATCCCCTGGTGTCCGAACTTCTAACAACTTTAAAGAGAACTATGAATGTGCATATGGGCAAATCCCTTTGACCCGTTTCCGTTCCGTTTGGCATCGGTCAAGGGGCTTCCTGGAGGGCCATGATATTTCACAGCTGTTTGGGTAGTAAATCAACCGCATAATGGAGCCATACAAAGGCCATCCAACATCCAGCTGGGCTCTTTTGGGCCTCCGCCGTTTTGCGGACTAGTCGATGATTAAAAACTCTTAATTGTTGGGATCTGGAAAATTGAATGAGCATTAAAGTGGCCATCCAGAAGGGGATCATGAATCATGGTCGGGCAACTTCATGCGAGCTTTTCAATCCGGTTCGCATATTCAAGCGTAATACCTTCAATCCCGGCCCAACTTTTATGCCTGCTGGGGCCAACGGAATCGCACTAAAATCGGCAACAGCGGCGCAAACAACAATCCCAGAACCCAGAGAACAACAACAGCAGCAACAACAGAATAACAACCGCAGCAACAATCGAAATGAGAGCAACAAATTTTAACGAGCACCACAAAACCCCAACGCTCTGCTTTTTTAAGCCGCTTTCATTTACCCAGCTAAATCCCCTGCTCCTCCCCCCTTTGTCTTTCCCGCACCCCGAGTTGTGTAATTACAAAAAAGCCGCGGGCTAAAGTTGGGAGCAGAACTTGACAAATGGCACGACGGTGGAACTGTGGAACGGTGGAGTGCTGAGAACGGGCCGGTTAACCAGGATAATAGGATGAAACAAATGTAAATGAGGGGGAGGGGGAGGGAGGCCAGTTGCACTGGGAAGTGTGTTAAAAATAAAGATAAAAATAATACACAAAAAGAGGCAAGTAACACAATACAGCACAACAAATCGCAACAACGCAAAAACGTTGACTCAAAAATCTGTTAAAGACATCTCCAACTGTGTTCTTTCCTTTGCCTCTGCCTCCCAAATGGGACATCGCCGCAGGTGTCGTGAAAAACCGGAAAACCGAAAACAAAAAATACTGAAATCGCGACGCGTGGCTGCGGATTCATTCGAGGTGGTCCGGGAACTACCGAACATAGTGAAAAGTTCGTCGTGTCTAGATTTCCATGTGCGATTCCGCAGACTATGACAAATATTTTAAGCTCTATCTTGATGCTGTCTGAATTCACTTATTTGCTGTACAAATTTACGGGCTCCGGTCGTCCAAAGTGTCAAGATACAAATGCTTTTGGCACATACAAATTTTTTGGGCCCCACATTTGTCCGGCAGCCTACACAGAATATTCGTTAGAAATCGTATTTAGGT